AAAGATAAGAAAAATATGTAGGTTATTACATTTGAGCATTTGGCTGATTTAAAAAAAAACTCTATTTTCGGAAGTTTTAATCAACGTCTACCCAAATATTACACAATTTTGAAATTTATTTTCCAGGCATTATTTACCTAAAGTTAATTTAAAAATTGATGTTCAACGCCACTTGATTAGTAAGCTTTTTTTCATATAATAATTTTAAAAATAATCGATATCGGACTGTTCTATGAGGCATGATTGTTTTTCTATAAAGTTATTAATTTTTTTTTTCGTTCAATTGAATTGATTTTATTTTTGCGTACGCCTCATCATTGTATTGTACCACTATGGTCGCTGTGCAACTTATCTAAAAATTCGCAGCAATTTCACATCTATATAAACAGTCAATTGAATCCGAGTAATCTGACACACTTGAAAACAGTAATAATATTTAAAAAAAAAATGCTTGGAAGTAGTTATACAAATTACAATATTATTGCTAAAAATGTACTGCCCTGCATTGGTTTCCATATACCTTTAAATGCACCTACGTTCTCCCGTTGATCACGTGCAGATGTTTTATATTATATTTTTGTCATTTTAAGCACATTTTTTCACGTATACTATTAAGTCCGTCTAAATAGCGAACACAAGATGTATTTCRCCCTTCACCCATTCCGAAATTTACCCGAAGACGCCTATATGTACCTTTATGTGTCCGGTGCTCTTCATCGCGTCGTTGTTTCGCGGTATCCGGGACGTTTCGTCAACTGCATACGCATTTACGTCCGGAGATCGGTACGTCGCGTCGAGCSGGTTGTCCCGCTCTGCAGAGGATCGCCGTTCGTGTGCCGTGTACGCGTTTATTCGTTCTAAGAGCGACGAGTCGCCGAGACCCCCGTCGCCCCACGAGTCGCTCGTCGAATCGAACGACGAATCTTCGACCCGATCCACCGTGAACGAATATCCCAGTTTTTCGCCCTGCGCGTCCCATTTCAGACAGCCGATGGTGGTTTTCGTCGGGCCGCCTTCGGCCTGCGTCGGGACCGCAGCGATCGTGTACCGGACGCTCTGGGTGTGGCACGACCACAAGTGTACCGACGATTGAATGGCCGCCGTCAAGTAGCCCGTCGAACTCCAGTCCAGTATCTTGGTCACTGAAATGGAATTTAACAAATTAATAAAAAAGTAGGTATACAAGCTCAAACCGTAAATCTAACTTCAGTAATGAAGACAAAAACAAAAACAAAAACAAAAACAAAAATCTTTTAAAATGCATATACCCATCGAATACCTACCTACCCTTGAGTAACCTATGTGTAGATATGTATATATTGTATATGTATTTGTAGATACGTATTATATAGACTATAGAAGGTACAATACACTCATATATCATATATCCTATATGTACAATAATATTTTAGTTTTAGTATATTTATGAATATTGGATATGCTAAACTTAAGGCGATCATAGTTAAAAAGTACTGAACCAAAATTAATGATTCGACATTCAATATTTTCTGATTAGGGTATCATAACTAGTTTTTTTGATAATCAGGAAAAACAAAAATACAAAAAAAGGAAATCTGTAAGATAGTCAACATTTTAAAAAAAATTGATTTTTTTTTCATTGWAATCAAAAAATAAGTAATTCCTTGAGAAAATTGAAAATGTCAATAAATATTTAATCATCCATTTTCAAGACATATTTGACTATTTGAGCTAATTATAGACATTTGTAATGTTTTACTCAATTTGGTTTTTATTTGACCTATATAATATGATAAAATTATTGTTTGTGAGTAATTAAGCTCATGATGGAATTGAATGAAAAAAGGTTTCTTGCAGAAATCATAAAGTATTGAAGACATCATGTCATCTGTTTAGTCAGTTTTATTTTAGTTTGAATTTCAAATTTTGATGTAATTCGTCAAGATAATTAAAATTTGATGATTATTTTAAACTTCAAAATATATTCAATTATTAATTTTTAAAACTTAAGTTTGAAAATTTAAAACAAAATTTCTCGTTTAAAGAATTAAAAATAATGTTTAGCGTAAATAGGGTTTTTTTCTATTTTTCTCTTTCAATTAATTATCTAATGAAAAAGTCTACACTATTTTAATCAGCTATTTTTATAATTTTAAAAATCTTAATTTTATTAATAATTTGTATATCTATATAAGCAATGTTTATGTGGTATCTTATATAATCAGTAAAAAGTATTATTGTTTGTGTCTTTTATTTTATCAAATAGTAACCATTTGTATAATATAATATATACAATATGTAAAAATTATAATGATACGTCTATTAAAAAAGATATATAAGTATGGGTTAAGTAAGTTAACCTTTATATATAGACTATTAAATAGGTAGAATATAAAATATAAAGTTAACCATTAAAAAAAAAATATTGCCCACTTTAGAGGCGATTATTTTTAAATAATTGCCTAAAATGTATAACACAATATATACATCTATTAAATACTATATATAGGTGATAGTGTATTAGTGTATTACCATTTAAATTAGTACATAATTGATTATGTTGATTAAGTGTATACCCCAACCTCGTCATGTTTATTTTATCGACTATCATGGATAAATTAGTTCGATAAAATTATAAATATAATTTAAAACACAAATTAAAAATCTTTAAGAAAAAAATAAATATGGCTATAATTGATATTTATTATAATAGCTACGTATTTAGCAACATTAAAAAAAAAWATATAATTCATATAGCCATTTAAAAATATAATTATAAATAATTATTGTACTATTATATAATATTACCTAGATTCTAGGTAGGTACCTACATTTGATTCTATCCTGTATTATTTAAAGGATATAGATTTACAGTGTTTATATGTTTTATAAAAATATTAAGAATTATATTAGAATAATATAAAAATGTGGTTTGTCATTCAAAATAATTAATGTTCCATATAATTTTATTTAGAAAATCTTTGCATATTAGTGATTTTTAAAATTGTTAACATCATTTGGCTATTTTTTTAATATTTATTAATACATGCATTTTTTTTCAATTACGTATTCCTCAGAATGTCTTTCATACAAACGTATTATCATTTTCTTAATAATCATAATATACAAACACCTAGGTAACTTTTTTATACACTTTATTTATTGTTATTTATTTACTTTAATAACCAGTGATATTTTGTATTTGTTTAAAAACCGTGTATGGGATACGGTTAATTTTTAACTCGCGAAATCATTTTATTTTTGCATTTTTGTATACACACAAAATCAGTCACAAATGATAATATATGGTCGTATTTTATGTAAATGTTGACATTTTTACCGTATATTTCAAGATATTTATAACTACCTGTTATAATTATTTTAAATTATTATATATTATCATCATAAATCCTATAATATTCTATATCCGATCCTCTGATTTATAAGCTCGTATAATAACGAATTAAAGAAAAAGCTATAGTTTTACTGTGCAATAAAATTGTTCAAAAGAAGCTCTGAAATACGTTTTTTTTTATCGTAGGTGACTTACTCCAGTCGTTGGACAGATTCGGCATGTCCAACAGCAGATCGGCTATCAGTAATTTGTTGTGGGCATGATTGAACTTGCGGGCCAAACGTCTCTGGCTGACCATCCGGATGGGCCACGTCAAGTTAGCATCCCGGTATATGGACACTAAGTCTGCCTCATCTGTACCACTTTTGCGCTTGTTCAATACGTGCCGCAACAGGTGTCCGCCAATGGACTCCAGCGACATGTACGACTGAAGTTGGCGGAAAGACCGGTGTTGTTGCTCTTGCTGCCGTTCGCATTCGAACGGCTCCAGGAAATCCTATTCAAACATTGGACCGATAATATATACATAAATCGACAGTACCCAAGTATCCTATACAATTTCAAGCGCACTTATTAGCGGTTGAATAAACCGATACCGCAGCTAGTGTACAAGTTCAAAATAAACGTATTCCCGTGACGATCGTACTTATGCAAAACCATGAAATCGCTAACCCAATTTTAAATTAAACCAACATAATATAATAGTGGCACAAAAATATAGCGATTGAAATCATTTTCACACAATTTTAGGGACTGTTTCGAACTGATTACTTAGAATACCCTCTCTCAATTTTTGTGAAAAGCCGAGTAACAGGTTAAAAACAAAAAAAAAACGAGTGTTCAATTGATGCAGCTGCATATGATCGGGGTGAACCGCCATTTTTTTACAGGACCTATCGAAACTTATGGTTTATCGCGCGAGATATTGCAAAAACACGGATATGATGACCCAGGATAAACGATCGACGTTAACGCGGTCGATGACGGACGTGGTCGAATGATTTATCATTATGTCCTCACATGATTGTTATTCGAATTGTCAAAACGTTTAATTGTATAAATACCTTATACCTACACTCTCAATAGTATTGTGCAGGCTTTAATCGGAAATAAAAATACGCACAAAAARTACCTATAGGTATATATAGGTCATCGGTACTTACGGTTTCGGGTTCATCGAAGCTGCAGTTGGACACACAATCGTATTGGTGATTTGTGGCGATGTGATGTACTGAATAAAACGAATACGGGCTCCGATGTCGATCAGGCACGAATCGATCTCTGCCCTGTGTGTATTTAAACATGGTGTCGACAAATAATGATAATAATATTTTTTTATAGATTTAAATACAATATAATTATTCKCATCGTAAACCAAGCACCAGCTATTTAACAGAGTAATAATACTATTGTGACGGCGAGCGTACGCGATGACTGCAGTCTACACGTTGTCGGCCTAATCATCACTGCGGGAAAAATATTATAATTTTTAACGAAGATATTAGTGCACAATACGGTTATTATTATTATTATTATATCTCCGTTTTATCATTACACATATTTACCAACATTAGTATAATATTATAATGTATTACCTATATTGTATGCGTATAAGATTATTATGTCTGCATCATCTGTATGTATCGGTGAGGGCGCGCYGAGGGGAAGGGACTCGATAATAGTAATAATAATGATATTAAAATCGTGCGATTAGAAAACGGTTTACCCTATTGAAAACATTAATAACGCCGCGTGGTGATATTTAAATTATATTGTATTCAGATCGTTAAACTATATATTATTCATAAATTATAATCATATCATATGTTTCGACTTAGACGCACGGCGATAAATACCCGCGCACACTCGCCGGTTCGCTTGTTAATTATTATTATTTTACAATCGATTAATATATAATTATATGTCTGACGGCCGTAAAAATCAATGATAACGGTGTGTAGGCCGAAGCGGAATAATTATCRTTGCTCGTTAATCATCATCATTAACGCCAAACCTACAMAATATTATAGTAAGGCGTCCATTATCCAGACGTTACGATATTTTCAGATATGGTAYCTACCAAGCGTTTTTGAAATCATTAGACATCGTAATATTGTAAGACGCAATCTGTTGAATTTTCTGGATAAACGCGATCATATAATATTATTCATCATATACGAATGCCGAAATACTTACGACGAGTTGTCGTATATTAATATAACTCTGTACAATGTTAATTAAAAACGAAATTAAATTGTTAAATCGTATAATATAAATAATATACCATTACTGACAAATACATTTTTTAGGTATTACGATTATAAATATTATACCTATGSAATATTATTTAATTGTAATATATGACTAAGCTTGATTTTAATTTTATTTGTTTGACTTATAGAAGAGGCATTATTGCTACTACTCTTATACTTCCGTACAATTCAGTTCGAAATGGGTACCTGATAAAATTAAAAGTTGTTTACGTTCTTTGTTTTGAATTCTGCGAAAAAATCCATAAATATCTATAGAACACTTTGAATAATTTTTTATTTTGAACTCTGATTGAAAACTTGAAAATGTGGATTCTATCGAATCATAATCGTAATTAAAACTAAAAATTAAAAATATAAAGTGTTCCTTTCGATCTATAGACATTTTTCTCACGATTTTAAATATTTTTTCACAGTTAAAAGCAGAAATAACTTTAGTTTTGACAAAACAATAATTCAGTTGCCAAAAAATTGATAGCTATAGACGTATAGTAAATTAAAAAAAAAATTTTTTAATTAAATTCCATACAATTGGCTCTATTTTTATAAATTACAATCTATACAATTTTAACAATCAGTAATATTAATGTTTATGGACAGYTTAATTAGTTTATATACATGAGGAGGAAATCACACATTTGTGACTCGTATTGATTATTAAGTAAGTACTTAATCTTAAGTTTTTAAGTGGTGGAACCAAATCCCTTTGAAACGTTTGGTTGGGTTACTAAGAAGAGCGTGGGATGCTAATTCGTTGATTAGTTTATCGGAATTATCTCGCAGTGTGACGTGGATTTTTTTCATTGATTGGACGTATTTTGAGTCGAMATTTAAGGACTAATCTGAGACAAGCCGGGGAGCGYCAATTATTAARTGAAGACAGATGTTTTTATAAGCTTGAATGGTTCTATTATTAGAAATCTCATCAGGGCCTCAGATTGGTTAAAGAAGACTTTTATAACGAATGATTTTGTTAGATAAGGTTAAAGCGAAGGACTGGCYTTAGTAGATGCGAAGTCTGAATTTTGTTTCTTACGCTTGTCTYCGAGACAAAGTGACCAGATTAAGCGCCTGTCAAGTGCAAGATTGTAAAACTTGAGTATTTWACTTTCRTTGAATGAGAAATKAGTGAAACAGTGACAAAAGAGGACTTAGACTTGTTAGTTTTTAGATATATTCCTTAAATTAAAATGTCCACAACCAAGATTATATTCTAAAAATTAATCTTAACACTCCAAGTTTGGGGCCGATGGGCAATACACACCTTGCACACCCAGTAATATTTTATAAGATACGATTATAAACAGCCAACTAGGTCTATAACATCATTCCTTCTATAGGATGAAATATATATTGATAAAATTCGGCCGCTCGATAATTATATATATATATATATATATAATTGATTATTGTAATGATAAAGAAAAATATTCACACTCAACAATAAGAATTTAAAATTAAATAATCACATATAGCTATTTTGTATAATATTATATTCTGAACCGCATTTATTATATTATTACATGCTAGTATATGTATAATAATGTGTAGCTAACCTTTTCTATTATTCATTACTCATGTTTGCACATTTTTATAAATAATTGTATATTATCAACTGTTAAAATGCCAACAAATCAAATCACTTAGTTTAGATGGCTTTTATCAGAAAGACCTAAAAATAAAAAATAAATAAAGAATAATAAGTTATATGAACTTCAATGATTTATGTATGCCAAATAACTACTTAAATAACTAAAAACTAATAAATACTACACAATTAACTACTATGAATCATTTTTAATAAGCGCAATATTTTGTATTTAGACACATAATAGGCTGACCAAGCTGTCTTCAAAAATATTTATATTTTWATCCCTTAAGTGTTTACTTCAATGATTTATAAGATTCGATGGTTTTACGCGTTRATTGTATTATAGTCAAATATAAAGAAACACATTATTTTAAAACAAACATCTGTTATCGCTTTATAGATATAATTMATATTATAAATGTACAATGGCTTAATGGCCAAATATATATGTCACAGTTAYCAATATGTTCAAGAAAGCCATTTAATGTGAATGTCAGACACTATTTGCGCTTTTGTATTTATGTAACACAAAGGGGCAATTAGATAAGGGCTAAGGTGTGGGGGGGGGCTCAGCCCACCTGAATATTTGCCTAGCCCTCCCAAATATTACTATTATTATTATTATTTCAGTTACCTATCATCAATGTATCACATTCTATAAACTAAATATACATGAGTTAAAATTCTATCCCCTAACCCCCCAACCAAAAAAATTGACCCTAGTTGCACCTATGATGTAAAATACAGAGAGAAAATCACTTTGTTAAAAACATGTATAGGTGTACCAATTAAGATTTTAATAATAATTAAGGTCACTAATTTAACTAATCTTAGCTCGTGATTATAATGGATCTTTATTTCAAAGTTAATCATTCACTGTTTAGTGTTAATAGTTAAATATATTTAACTTATAGGCAACACGTAGCACGTTACCAACATGATGATATTATCTATACGGATTTAGTAGACTGCAATGGCGTAGCCCGAGGAAAGGGAAAAGTGTCATATTCCTCTCATTGATTTTTTTGCTGTCCATGCAATCATAACTTATATCGTATACCTAGCTGCCAGCAACCTTATGTCAAGTTGACACGATTTTTAGTTATATCCTGGCCTTTTAATATAATAATTTGTTGTGACTTTGGCACTTTGCATCTTTGACATTTTTAATTATACACCTACCACGGTACGATTGTGTGAATTTAATATAATATATATCATGTGCGTTAAATTGATTGGAAATAGACAACACCAGCATCAACGATTTAAAAATTAAAACGCTAAGCTAATATTAACAAAGTTAAATAACTTGTTACCTTTTTTTTAAAACTAATTTTCAACTTGATTATAGTTAAATTTTTAATGTATTTAAATAACACTTTAAAACTTGCTTGAAAAATTTACTTGAAATTAATTTCAAACAGATTTCTAAAAAATTAAATTAAAATTTTTATTAAACATTTATTTTAGATTCTGGGCGAGGAATGTATTGATTTTATACCATGATGTGTGTGGTTTTTTTTTGTGTTTGTCATCACGTTTTGGGGCGGTAAAAATGCTTCGATTTTCGACTTTAATACCTCATTCGAACAGAAAGTGAATCTAGTTGGTACTTTAAGGGGTCAAAAGTAAAAAGTCCATACATTTATTTTCAAAATAATATTTTTCTTAATAATTGGGATAAACAAACTAAAAATTAAGGAAAAAAACGGGAATTTTTACGAATTTTTAATTTTCGACAAAATCGATTTTGGTTTTTGATTTAACTTTTAAAAAAATTACCGTCGAGGCGTCGACACATGAAATTTTCATCGAATGTTTATGTAAGTATATTCTACTCACCGTGCAATTTTCAAAAAATTTCGACTTAAGTTTAACTATTTATAGGCATATATGCAATTTTCGATAATTATTAGTTTTTTTTCAAATTAATATCGATAGTTATATATATTTGTTGGGCAGAAAAGCTTGAAAATTTAATACAAGATTCCTAGCATATTTTTACTAAAGCAGTTGAAAAATAAAAGAAATGCACTGTCACAATGTCAAAGTTTTTTTTATAAGCATTCAAATTTGAATTTTGACAAAATACATAAAAATCACAAATATTCGCAAATTATTTTAAGCGAGAAATTCATAAAAATTGTCTTTTTAAATCTAAGATTTGAAAATGTAATACGAGATTCCTTACAAGATTGTCAATCTTTATCACAAAAATATTGATATATTTCCACTAGAAATTCTAGGTTCAGAATGCTGAGGTCGTGGCATGGCCTGACATATTTTGAAAATTTAATATAGGGCCGCTTCATATTGACCATTTTCTTCTGCACGGAATGCCATTTTTTCCGATATCAAGATTTTGGGCCTCTTGAAATATTTTTCGCCCTACTAGATTTATAGGACTTCGGCGCCTGTACTGTACAATGATATAATACCATTGGATTCAAATTTAATTTCATCCATTATAGTAACCCACTTGCAACCTACTGAACAGCAGAGTGACATCCACGACTTACCGGCTTATTTAATTTTGTTGCTTTTTGAAATATTAGATAAGTATACCTATCATAATTCATTAAAATGTCCAAGAATAATATACAGGAAATGTAGAATTATTAGTTTGTGATTGATGATCATATTTTCTGTTGATGTATAGTCTATTAGTCTGTCGTAGTCATATTATAGAATATAGATATTACTATATGTCTATATTATAGTTTGTATGATATCATGTTAATTATGTATATAGTCATAAAAGTAGTGTATTCAACTCAAGTTTTATAATATGGGTCATAATACATGACGTGCTGGATAAACAAAATAAGTAGGTTGTTATTTTAATCGCATATTACATTTTCTATTT